TGCATCACCCCTCGCTGTCCCGAATTTCTTTAGAAAATTCCAAATTAACTGAATTTTTAATAAGTATTGCTACCCCCTTTTACGACTTTTCTTTCAAGTACTATAGTAAGAATTTCTTAACCCAAATTTCTTTAATTTATCATGTTCTTCCTGTGACAGATGTGTTTCCTGTACATATACTATATTGATATTAAGCGTTCTCATTTTAAGTATCACTTTGCTTCTTTTAATTGGGTTATTCATCCCATTGACATTCATTGACACCAGCGTTATATTCCTCATCTTTTCACTGTTAAGTTTTGCTTTATTTTTGGCTTATCACTATCATAGCCTCCCACACTAACTCTAAGAACTTGGAACAAGATAACAAGAAACTTAAGAGAAACTGAAAATACGTATTTCTTACCCACAGCGTCCCTGTGGTTCGTGGGGTATATCCCTTTCAGATTAGGGGCCCCCGTGAGATCCAACATAGGTTCCTTAAAAAAAAGAAAAAAAAAGAAAACCTACCACTTTCCGGTCTACCTTGCCTTGAAAAGTAACAGAGTAATGAACCTTTAGTTTCTGAGTTCTACTGTTCAGTCATTTCCACCGCATTCAAATGTTTGTATCCTCACTTATAAGTTCTCGGTGTTAGATCGCTGCCATCCCAATGCATTTTGCAGTCGCTCCTCCAGCATCGTGCTTTCCCCGCTCCGCTGCGGCACCTCCGCCTGTATTCCTCTCTCTTTTAAGGCTTTCTTAATTCCAGCGTATTCCTTCCTCTTTTGAACCACGTCGGCAGCGTAGTCATGATCAAAGAAAAGCTGCTTATCCTGATGTACAACTTTTTTCTTCCACGCTGCCTTCAGCACCATCTCCTTGGTTGAGAACTGAAGAAAATTAACCACCACCGATCGCGGAGGTTTTTCTGGTCCGGGTTTTGGCACCAGAGCTCTGTGCGCCCGCTGAATATTTAGAGCAGAATCCGGCGGGAGCGAAAGCTCAGCTCTCAACAAGTCCTCCACACACTGCAGCACAGAGTTTCCTTCAGAGCCCTCTTTTAGGCCAAAAATGCGAATGTTGTTCCGTTGGCTACGGCCTTCCAAGTCAGCCAGTTTCATCTGAATATTCCGTTGTTGCTGAAGCGACTGGATTAGAGCGTCTTTTGCGGCCAAATTCCACCTTTCCATCTCTTCCAGTCTTTTCTCAGCTTCTTCGAGTCTGGTCTCATGGCTAGCTAGCTCATTCGCAGTTTCTGCCAGCTTTATATTAATGTCTTTCTTGAAGCTGTCGAATTCGTCCTTCATTTCTTGTGTGATGTCTTTCTTAAACGTGGAAAACTCGGTTTTAAACTCTGCTTTAAGTGAGTGAATTTCCTTAATGATGTCCTGGAAGTCTGCGTGAGGGTGGCTAGCTACATCTCCTTCCATCTGCTCGCCTTGCACGCTGTTCTCGGACATGAATGCGTTGCCTCCTCTTGCCAGCTCCACTTGTTTCACAAAATCCTTAATGTTTCCTTGTCTTTTTGACCTTCTTCCACCTTCCATGGCATTTATTACACGGTTTAGCGGTGGAAATATTCGAATTCTGGTTCTCTTTCGAGTTTTGACCGGGAGCTGCAAGCTTATGCTGCCATCTTCCTTACGTCTCCCTAGTGGTCTCAGGACAGGGTTTTTAAAAAGGGAAAAAAGGAGACACTGATATGCAGGCTGGAGGAATAAATCTTTGGTAGACACCTAGCTTTGCCTCTGAGCCACAGCTGACAGCTTCAGCTTCTCATTATTACTCCCTGAATGATCTTTAGTCAGAGCTTGCGTCAATAAATAAAGGATAATGCGCCCTGCCACAGAACAAAGGTTAGGAATGGTTGCAGGAGCACGACGGTGCATTTTAAGGGTTGATGTGGCCTCCAGACCTCCCAGATATCAATTCAATCAAGCATGTGTGGAATGTGTTGGACAACCAGGCTGTTCTTCACAGCTTACAGGATGTAAAGAGTTTGCTGCTGCTAACATCTTGGTGCAGACACTCTGGCACATCTTATTACCAGGGCATGGACTTCAGTGGTGTCCGTCCCTGATTGGTCAGGGCTGTTTTGGCAGCAACACAATATTTGGCAGGTGGTCATAACGTTATTCCTGATTGGTGTACATGTTCATCGTTATACTTACATTTATATTTATTTAGTACTTTGAGTCAAACGTTTACTTATATAATGTGAACACTTGCTTCACGATGGCCTAAAGAGATTTTTGTTGCGAGTCCAGAAAATGACGTGTGCTGACTGTGATGTTGTTTTTACATGTTTGCAGTACAGAGCACTGTGAGGGGTCCATGCAGCCACTGGTATCTGTGAGCTTTGTCTGTGTTCTAATACAATAACCTCCTTGGTCTTTGAGAGAGATCACATCAAAATCAATAATTATTTTTTATTGTTTTTTTCTCCTGCTGTTATTTTATTCTTCCACAGGCGGAAAATGCTCTTTACCTTTTACTGTAAGTCACAGTAATGTTGTGCTGACTCTTTAGGACTCGTGCAGAATAAAGACACGTTTGTTTGTTTTTTAAATATTATTTGTGTCACTTTTGCCAGTCTTGTGATCTTTTTGTTTTTACATCTTCCATAATGATTGGCACTTTTTATATCTTCCTATTTATTTTGTTTTATACAGTTTTATATAAAGTACAGTGGCACTGCATATAGTCTGAGAAAATATAAATAAAATTCAAAATGAAATAAAATTTATTAAAGCTCTGAACATTTCAACATATGTGACCAACGACTTGTAGGAGAGATGATTCCATCTAGTGGACAGGAAGTGACATTACACCGTGCTAATCCCGATCATGATCAACACGATGACCAGTCCAACACATAAACCAGCAGTGGGGAGTGTTACTACCGTATGCAGGAGGCACAAATGGTTTAAATGGTTGGAGGCAAATATCGGCAGGTACCAATAAAAAACTTTATTAATATGCCAAATTACAGTTATTTACTGCATTTCTCTGCAGACGAATGAGTTTCAAGTGGTTTCATGTTACGCTTGATTAATGTCAGAATTCTCAAAGAAGTCCAGTGTGCCAGCTAAAAACAGGGGTTTAGTATTTATTTATTTAAATGCGTTTTGGAGCTTTCTTTATTCTGTTCATCAGGACGTTTTCAGTGGGAGAAACGTTTCGTCACTCATCCAGGTGACGTCTTCAGTCTCAGCTGACTGCAGGTTTCAATCTTATAAACAGCACATTTGCACAATGACTGAAACCAGCCCACTGAAGGAACAATGGGCTGGGAGGTCAGTTCCTTAATCTTAATTATGCAAACTCTCATTGATCAACAACCTCTGATCAGTGGCCATGAGTCCCATTAACATGGAGTTGGGGAATGGCTGCAATCACAGCATTGTAAGATGGTGACAGATGCACCCTTAGGCCCCTCCTCCATTCAGAGATGGTCTTTCCCTTTTCACGTAAATGGCCTCCTTGACTCCGCCCTCAAACCAGCATTCCTCCCTGTCCAGGATGTTACATCCTCATCATTGAAAGTGTCCACTGGCCTGTAGGTGTGCATAGACTGCAGAGTCCTGGCCTGACGAGGTGGCTCTCCTGTGTTGTAGCCAGAGGTTGTTTGGTTTCCCCGATGTATAAATCCTGGCAAACCTCCTGCACTTAACAGCGTACACTATGTTACTCTGTTTGTGTCGGGGGACCCGATCCTTGGGGTGGACCAGTTTTTGGTGCAGCGTGTTTTGGGGTTTAAAAGCCACAGAGACCCGGTGTTTAGAAAAAATGCGTCTCAGCTGCTCCGATACTCCTGACACGTACGGGATCACTACAGGTTTTTGCTTAGGCAGCGGCTGTCCTTCTCTCCTGTGGGGATGGTGTTCCCTCTGTGTTATAGCGTCCTGATGACACCCAGTTTGTGCTCCAGTGGATGATGAGAGTCAAACCTTAGATACTGACCCATATGTGTAGGTTTACTGTACACGTCAGCTTTTAGATGTCCCCCATTACTGATGGAAATCTCACAGTCTAAGAAGGCTAACCTGCCACTTTTCATATCCTCCCTGGTGAATGTGATGTGTTGGTCCACCGAGTTAATGTGATCTATGAATTGTGGTACGTCCTGAGATTTGATTTTCACCCAGGTGTCATCCACATACCTGAACCAATGGCTTGGTGGTGTTCCAGGGTAGGATAGCAAAGCCCTCTTTTCCACTTCTTCCATGTACAAATTGGCCACGATGGGTGAAACTGGGGAGCCCATGGCACACCCATGTTTCTGCCTGTAGAACTGAGCCTTGTATGTGAAGAAGGTGGAATGAAGACACAGTTCAAACACACTTGGTGGATGCTGACGCTGGTCCTGTTGCTGAGGTCATCCTGTAGTCTCTTACGGACTACCTCCAACGCTTCCATGACTGGGATGCAAGTGAAGAGAGATCTAACGTCGTACGAGACCATGGTTTCATCTGCCGCCATGATGACATCTCTCACCTTCTCAACAAAATCCAAAGTGTTCTGGATGTGGTGTTGAGACCTGTTTATTAGATTGGGGGAAACCTGCAGTCAGCTGAGACTGAAGAAGTCCCTTGGATGAGTGACTAAACGTTTCTCCCACTGAAAACGCTACATCCAGAGGAACAGAATCAACTTTTGGAGCCTTCTAAAGTATTCGTTTCCTCGTTCGATGGTCTAATAAATCTGACCTAAACAGGGAAAAGGCTCTCAGGGCACACATACCGATGGGCCAGAGGCTTCATGTTTATTAGGAGGACTGGAGAAATGATATTAGAGCCGTCACAGTTTCTCACAGCATCATCCACCAACTCAAAGAGTTTACTCAACTTTTCTATTCTGCTGGAATCCTGTTGATTCCTGCACTAAACGATATTTAACCTGCTCCTTTACCTCTGGCCTGACAGAAATGTCAATCACACCAACACAGCCCTGACTCTACGAAGTCTGAAACAAACAATCCAATCACAGTCAGGTATGAAAGTGACTCATACGGCAGGTTGTGTACCAATGGTCGTGTTTAATTTTAAACAGGATTATACACAAATAAAAACCATTAGCTTATTTTATTATCTAAAAAAAAAAAAAAAAAAAAAGAAGCCCACACACACAATCCGTATGGACTGGGAGGAAAAGGTGGAAAGGTGAACTCCACAGAGGCCATGATGTCCCGGTTCAGCAGTAGATGGGCTCTGGCAGACTGGATGTCACATAGTCCTGCTGTAACTCTGTGGACTGCCAGTGACAGTCTATCAGTGCATCGTACAGTTCCTCACTGTGCTCCATGAACTTCCTGTTGGCCTCCACCACATCCACCTCCACACTTGGATCTGCGAAACACAAACATCCACTTAGAAGGTATATGCGCTGCAATTACACACAAGCCTCTTTATTAGGTAGACCTCCACCACTCAAGAACGCAAATATTTGTTTTGCCAAATCACAAGGCAGCAGGATGACCTGTTGAAGACCACAACACCAGCATCATCTGTTTAAAACATCAGCAATGGGCCAAACTGCATACACACGAATAAATAAGTAGGAATACTACTAGTGTTACCCCTCAGCCTACTAGGATGCCTATGATATCAATGTCATGTTATCACATTCACAAGACTTTCACAAAACGTGACCTCTGACCTTTAGTTTGAGGTCACTGACATTCAAACTTGTCTGATGTTGTTAGTAGACGAAACGTTTCTTCCACTGTAAATGTCCAGATCAACACAACCAACCCGTTGAAATTGCCTTACCCAGATGATCGAGCATGCATCGAGAAATTTGAACCCACTTTGGCCCCGACTGCTTGAAGCTAGTACGAGCACGTGCGAGTAAATGTGGTTATCCCAGTGTCATGATTCGAGTTTTGAGGAGAAGACAAACGACTGCATGGTCTCAGTAGATGTCAGAATAGTGATCTTTATTACACACTTCTGAACCAGAAGTATGGGAAGACTGACGTACAGCAACAATCTCCAAAGAGTGGACCGTTCCCCATCCTTATATAACCCATGATGACATCACACAGTTAGACCTTACTGGAAATGATAACAGTCTCCCCATAGTCCAAAGTTCTCCTTATACAAACATCAGATGATACTTTAGAGAAAAACAAGTGTGTGACATGTCATGTTGTGCAGTTCTGTGAGCCTGTGTGTCCAACTAGAGAATGTCCTGACATGACCTCCCTGTGTAAATAAGGGTGAACGTGCGTGTTTACATAACTCTCTATGTGCATGTTCTGATGTAGGCCTGCAAATGAATTAGAACAAGGTCCTGCTGGACCCTCCAGTTATGGACGGTGAATACAATGCTGTGGATACCATTTGAGACTTGATTACAATGATGATAATATGCATACATTAATCTTTACTCAGATTACCATAGATATAAAACAAAGATTATACTGTCATCAGATTCCACAATGGTAAATGATTAATCAATGATAACTGATTATGAGAATACAAAATAAAATATCTCCTGATCACACCAGCCGGGCATTTGTCGAAGCAGGGAAGGCGCCTACAGAACGCTCCAAACCCGTAGTGGTCCCTTATGTGTCAGGAGTTAGGGCTGTTCGATATAACGATATATAATCGCATGACGATATAAAAACATCTATCGTTTGTTTCGTGGTGTCGCCAAATAAACTGTTTACTGCAATATTTTTTCATGTTTTGATGGTCACTGTAGTGGCTACATTCATTTCTTAAAGCTCTCTCTTTCTCTTATATTTAATATAACCACACTACGGACGGACAAAATGGTAAAACCATCGCGTGTCCGCTTGTTTATTTTCCACATCAACCTTTCACAATAAAGCTCAAGATCCTGTTGAGACTTTTCAAAATAATCTGCATCACGTGAAAGAGTATGCAGAGTGTTTACAGATGAGAAGCAAAAATGAGCCGTTAGGTGCTCCAAATAAACCTTAGACTCAAACGTTAGAACTTTTCCCCGCAGTACGCCGTGTAATAAATACAAAGAAAACGGCGGCCGTTACAACTTATGTCTAAAAATGTATCGTTTCATGTATCGGTTAAAGCACTCGACTCAGCTACATGACGCGCAGCTGGAAACACGTCACGCAAGTCGAGCTGCCCGAGATTCACAGAAAATGTAAAATTTTTGTGATTTATATCGTTATCAGGACGATGGATGTCTTATATCGGGATATGAGATTTGGTCATATCGCACAGCCCTACCAGGAGTATCGGAACATTTTCTCTAAACACAGAGTCTCTGTGGCTTTTAAACCCCAAAAAACGCTGCGCCAGAAACTGGTCCACCCCGACACAAACAGAGTAACATAGTGTACGCTGTTCAGCGCCAGGATTCATATATCGGGGAAACCAAACAACCTCTGGCTACAACAATGAAGAACTCGTCAGCGGGGCAGAGCGACATGAGGGAAATCTAATATCACAATATTTTCTTTATATAAATATCACCAAATGTTTAAATAACCTCCAAATGTTATTTTCAACCATATAAACCTAAAATTTCACTGCTATACTCAGTCAAATCGACCATTCAATGGTTTTTTTTCTACTTGAATACAAAGAAAAAAATCTGAATGTTTTATTTTAGCCGTTCTTTAACCATCAGGTGCACAGAGGATACTGCCACAGTACGTCTGTGGTCAACACCTTTAACAAAGGATTTTAAAGGTTTCTTTGGTGTGTGGGGAGACGTTCACGTGCAAAGTTTAATATTGCCATGGCAACTCATACTCGATGGTTAGGATAAAGACATTTTAACCATTGTACGTGGAGAGACTCGCGATACAATGAAAATGTTCGATATCGCCCAGCCCTACTCGTCAGGCCAGGACTCTGCAGTCTGTGCACACCTACAGGCCAGTGGACTCTTTCAATGATGAGGATGTAACATCCTGGACAGGGAGGAGCGCTGGTTTGAGGGCGGAGTCAAGGAGGCCATTTACGTGAAAAGGGAAAGACCATCTCTGAATGGAGGAGGGGCCTAAGGGTGCATCTGTCACCATCTTACAATGCTGTGATTGCAGCCATTCCCCAACTCTCTGTGAATGGGACTCATGGCCATTGATCAATGGTCATGACCTCCCAGCCCATCGTTAGTCAGTGGTGCTAGTTTCACTTATTGTACAAATGTCCTGTTTATAAGGTTGGAATATGGTATCTAAGCAGATTCTTACTCTGGATGGCATTACCTTGGCCTCCAGTAACGCTGTGAGGAACCTTGGAGTCATTTTTGACCAGGACATGTCCTTCAACGCACATATTAAACAAATATGTAAGACTGCTTTCTTCCATGTGTGCAACATCTCTAAAGTTAGAAATATCCTGTCTCAGAGTGACGCTGAAAAACTAGTTCATGCATTTATTACTTCCAGGCTGGACGACTGTAACTCATTATTATCAGGAAGTCCTAAAAACTCCCTGAAAGCCTTCAGCTGATCCAAAATGCTGCAGCAAGAGTCCTGACAGGGACTAGAAAGAGAGAGCAGATTTCTCCTGTTGGCTTCCTGTTAAATCCAGAATTCAAAATCCTGCTCCTCACATACAAGGTCTTAAATAATCAGGCCCATCTTATCTTAATGACCTTGTAGTACCATATCACCCTATTAGAGCACTTCGCTCTCGCTCTGCAGGCCTACTTGTTGTTCCTAGAGTATTTAAAAGTAGAATGGGAGGCAGAGCCTTCAGTTTTCAGGCCCCTCTTCTGTGGAACCAGCTTCCAGTTTGGATTCAGGAGACAGACACTATCTCTACTTTCAAGATTAGGCTTCAAACTTTCCTTTTTGCTAAAGCATATAGTTAGAGCTGGACCAGGTGACCCTGAATCCTGCCTTAGTTATGCTGCAATAGACGTAGGCTGCCGGGGGATTCCCATGATGCACTGGGTTTTTCCTTTCCAGTCACCTTTCTCACTCACTATGTATTAACAGACCTCTCTGCATCGAATCATATCTGTTATTAACCTCTGTCTCTCTTCCACAGCATGTCTTTATCCTGTCTTCCTTCTCTCACCCCAACCAATCACAGCAGATGGCCCCGCCCCTCCCTGAGCCTGTTTCTGCCGGAGGTTTCTTCCTGTTAAAAGGGAGTTTTTCCTTCCCACTGTCGCCAAAGTGCTGCTCACAGGGGGTCATATGATTGTTGGGTTTTTCTCTGTATCTATGAAGCGCCTTGAGGCGACTTTTGCTGTGATTTGGCGCTATATAAATAAAATTGAATTGAATCCTGCAGTCAGATGAGACTGAAGAAGTCACTTGATGATGAAATGTTTCTCCCACTGAAAACGCTGCAGCCAGATGAACAGGATCAACCTTTTTGGAAACTACTGCTCATCTTTTTCTTATTTTTTTAAGTCTGGCATGTGAAAATAATGACAAGCAACAGCAAGCAGCTGCCACCCAGGCTAAATGCTAACCTTCCAGTCCTTCGTCCTCCTGAACGGTTTCACTCTCCTAAAACAAACAAACAAGAGGTTAGAATGATTGCATCTGTTTAACAATAACTGATATCTGCAACTCTGGTTTAACAGAGACAGCAGTTACCTGTGCAGCAGAATACTGTGAGTAATCATACTGCGGATAGTTGTAGCCATACATTCCTCCAGTCTGGTCATAGCCCCAGGAAGAATAAAAGCCAGGATAGGTCTGCTGCTGGTACTGGGTGTACTGGTCATAGTTTTGTCTGTATCCAGAGGTAGACTGCCATGATTTGTGCTCCGACTGCTGCTGCTTGTTCTTTAAGCTTAGAGAGGAAAGCACAGAAACACTCGTGAACTGAGCCAGTCCTTGGGGCTGTACTACGGGCACAAATACAGCCGTGTCCTGACAAAGGGAGGTAAGATTCTGAGAACTCACTTGTTAGCAGCCAGGCTCAATCGCAGAGGCTTGCCACCCAGCCCCACAGCTCCCTGACACTCCTCTAACGCCCGCTTCTGCAGCCGCTCATCAGGGAACTGAACGAAGCCACAGCCCCTGCAGAGAAACACGGCGGTGTTAAACTCACGAGGGAGCAACTCGTCTTAGGACCACCAGAAGTTTTCTTATGTTTACACCACATTTTAAAACAGAGGGTAAGAAAACGCTCTAGATTCAGTTTAGTTTGGATACTCCGGGATCATGTTTGAGTCTGGATAGGCTCAGATAAAGACCAACACTTAATTATACATTCGTGGTGCTGTTGATTTTGGCTGCCAGTTAAATCCACAGGCAGTATGGTCAGTGTGGAAAAAGTCTTTTTATACACAGTTACACAAAATACTGCAGAAAAATCAGGGTTAGACTGAAGTTAGCAGCACACGTAGCAGAACATAGTCGCAGCTATGGAGCGGAGCAGTGTCTGTAACATGTTCATATACTGTCTGTCAAATTCATCGCTTCAAAGTTCATCAACAGTCAATAATTGTTCCTTTTACAATAATTAACATGTGTGTAGGTCCCAGTCAGTGAATCACTGCCTTATTGTGGTGAAAGGGTCTGATTGTTTGTTTGCTGTAGGGGCAGACTGGTCCTGAATGAAGGACCAGAGAAAGAGCAATTCAGAAGACCCCCGTGACTACAACATCAAGGCAACAGTTCACCCTGCCCGGGATACCGGGGGCCATGAGAGGCAGTGGGCTGCAGTGGGTATCCTGGTATCCACTTGCCTTGGGGTTTTCCTCAGTGGACGAGAGGGTTTGCTCCCTGAACGGGTCCTGACTGTCATCTGCACGCGCCAAAGGACCATTCAGAGTATCCAGCCTTCTTGGGAGTCCCTGTGTGGGGACTCTGTCATCCTACTGGGGGACTTCAACGCTCATGTGCGCACTGACAGTGAGACCTGGAGGCGCCATTGGGAGGGATGGCCTTGCTGACCTGAACTCAAGCAGTGATGTTACCGGAGTGTTGTTTGTCAGTTTGTCCATAACAAACGCCATGTTTGAACATAAGGGTGTCCGTAAGTGATCGCAGTACCAGGTCGCCCGAGGCCGCAGGCTGATGACTGATTGTGTAATCGTATCATCAGATTCACGGCCGGATGTTCTGGACACTCTGTGAGAGGAGGACTGAGTTGTCAGTTAATCACCACCTGGTGGCGAGTTGGACCAGGTGGCGGGGGAGGACAGACCTGCCACACCAACACGTATAGCGAGGGTGAAAATATGACTGGATGAGTGCAGCAATGCCATTCTGTAGATCCAAATGTGTTCTGACATGTTAATACTTACTTGGAGTTGCCCATGCTGTCCAATACCACTTTTCCACCACGACAGGAAGGGTAACGATTGTAAAAAAACTCATAAAGCATCCCATCATCCACATCTGGAGTGAGATCTCCGACAAACAGAGAATACATCTGCCTACAACAAGAAGAGACAAAGTCAGAGCAGCGCTCCGTGATGGTTCTGTCATTAGGACCGTTCCGGTCACCTTGGATAATTCTGCTTGTCCACCTGGACTCACCCGCTTTCCTGTTTTCCAAAGGTTGCTCGGTTTAACTTGAATCTTGTGGGCTATGAGAAAATAAAGTCCAATCAATCAACAAATGAATAAAATCTCTGAAATGATAAACAAACAAACAAAAGATAAGGCTGTTGTTAGCAACTGCTGTTCTCCATACCGGGTTGGCTCCCGGTAAAGGTTTTCCATTGATTTTGCGGAGACACCTCTCGGCTGTGGCCTCGTCTGTCATCTCCACAAAACAGTAACCCAGAGCACCCCTGGGGGACGACACACTATTTAACGTCATTATAGAATAACTGCAAATAAGAATACTGCATGTGAATTCAGCTCTTACCCTGTCATCTTGTTGCGGATGATCCTGACATTAACCACCTGCTCGCCCATGGTGGAAAAAGCTCTGGTGATGAACTTCTCATCCATGTAGGTCTCCAGCTGCAGAGCAGCAAAAACAGTTAGCTATGTGATCACTGTAGTGATTACTGTTAGGAACGAGTCGGGCTTCAGCTAAATGTTTCTAACAAGAGAGGGAAGATAAATCTCCTTTGGTCCACAGAACTGCACAGTGAGAAATAAAATGTGAAATTCCCCCTTTTCTAATGAATCTGTCACAAATCTGGGCTCAAAGTAATGCTGGTCTAGTTAAAGTGCGACTTATCACAGCTGTGCCACTCCTATCAAACTGAGGGTACAGTTTGCACAGGCTCACCTAAACTGGACAATTGGAAATATGCTGCCTGGTCTGACAAGTCTCGAGCTCTGCTGCAACATTTGGGGGACAGGGTCCCAGGTTTAGATTTTTAAATACATAGTGAGATTGAAAAGATGCAAAAATATACACGTTCCAATCATTTGCTGGTGATTTTACCAAGATATGCTAACTACAACCATTTCTAGGTTATACATTACACGACACATTTTTCAAATATTGTTGAGTCTTATGCATCACATCTTATATAACTGAGATGGATCTTAGTTTCCCTTTGAGTGATTTGCCTCTTAACATAACAATTAAAGTGATTTTAAAAGTTTGCATTTTGTGTGTCACAGGACATGCTATGGATGATGCCCGCATTACCCGGTTATTTCTCTGTGTAAGAAAGTCGTCAGCAGCTTCTCCTACAGCTGGAGGAAGAGAAGAGAGCTGGCTGAAGTGCAAATACAGCTGGGTCTTCCAAGTCACCAGCTACTCACAGAGGCAACAACTCGCTGGGGATCAAGGCTTCTCGTGATAGAGAGAGTTCTGGAGCAGGAAAGAGCACTTTCTAAAGTTCTCTGTCGACATGAAAACCAGACCTCTAGTCCCTACTTGGCGGGACATAGAGGTCCTGGAGGCAGTTCAGAAAGCTCTCAAACCCTGTCAGGACTTCACTGATGCACTTTCAGGAGAAAAGTATGTGACCCTGTCCTGTGCTACACCTGTTTAACACTAGTCTCCTGGCACCTGGAGAGGTGACCTGTTGGACATGGCTTCTTTTGTGGATCCACGGTTCAGGGCAAAATACATCCCTAGTGAGAAAATTAATGCACTAAAACATAAACTCGTCTTGGAGGCAGAGTCTCTGCTCAGCTATCAGGGCACGTGTTTGTCTGAGCTGCCTGATCCAGCCGTGCCTGAGTCTGCAGACCAAGAAGAAGCAGCAGTGGGTGACACAGCTAAAAAGAGATCACTGGCAAGCTTCTCCCAGCACAGCACAGCCACCAACACTGGTTTCACAAGGAGGGAGGCAATCGAAAATGAATTTTCTAGCTACCTGTTGTCAGTTTGTGTAGAGTGATGCTGACCCTCTCAAATGGTGGAAGGAACATGAAGTTGCCTTTCCAGCACTGAGCCTCCTGGCCAAGAAATATCTTTGTGCGCCAGCTACCAGCTCCCCTTCTGAAAGGACTTTTAGTTGCAGTGGAAACATGGTAACCTGCCACAGGGCATCCTTGAAGCCTGATACTGTTGACAGATTAGTTTTCCTGGCACAAAATCTGGAAGCTGTACAGTAGCTGGCCTTGCCAATTGTTTGTGTTCTTTCTATATTGTTATTGTCATTGGAGATTTGCACAAAGACCCACTGAGCAAAGAATGTAATTTTGTTCATTTCATTCAATCTGTTTACATGTTTGGTTTTTTGCACAAAGTACCAGATGATTGTTCAGGAATACACACAAGGAAGCAAAACTTTACTTCAGTGTAAGCCACTTCCAAAGGCCAAGTTGCCTTTGTCACTTTTGCTCTGCATCTTTTTAGTTTACATTTAGTTTACAATTGTGAGCTTTTTGTTATACATGAAAAAAAATTTTTTTACATTTTATTTATGGAGCATTATTAAATAATAAACGTTGACAATTTATTTTTGACTAATTTTTCATGTACATCTGCAGTTGTATGTTAATAAAAGTGCCTGTGTGACATCTGGGACAAGCAGCTTTGACTAAGAACTCTGTTTGTTCTTACTTTATGGGATTAAAGAAAAATAATCAAGATATATACTGTTTATCGCCACCCAGCTAAAAAATATCGAGATATGAATTTTGGTCCATATCGCCCAGTCCTATTGGTGCTGTATAAATAAAACAGAATTGAAATTGCTTGCATTAATAAATAGACTGTAGTCAGCAGGATCTGTGACACTGTTAAACACAAAATAAAGAAATTTGCTGTTTTGTACCCACAGCATCATTACCAACCGAGTCCACTTTATAGAGCTGTTATACTTGTTGCTGCCCTCTTGGCCAGATCGATCTCGGACAAAAACAAACATTTTTATTGTCATTGAGACTCTTGAGCTGCATTAAGGATATAAAGTGACTTGAGATCATTCATGAGAGATTTGTCTGACATATTACCAGCAAGATATTAACAACAAAGACTGGAAATCGCTTTTAGTGCAACACTGGTATCAGCCAGCGAGTTGCAGGAGTTTGTTGCAGTAGGTCTGATAAGGAAAAGTCACTGTTATGGGTAAAGACCGGTTAAAACCGTGTCCTGGGTTTATCCGCGGCTAAGCTGCGGAACGCGGATGTATGCTAAATGTATGCTACACGAGAAAGCGTGTTTTGGTCTGTCCACGGTTGGTGTTGGCCCCTGACTGCCACATTAAACACAAAGTAACCGTCTTACAGGAACTCCGTACAAAGTTTTGTGCGGCAACGCAACATTACATGAAGTCAAGTTACGTTCATTTGGCGTGTGCGGCTCGTTTACAGCTAGCTAACACTCACGGTCAGACCAAACAAGTTACCGCGACAACAAGCTGGAAGCAACTCACGTTTCCCATCCATAGCGTACTCATGGCGCTGCCGCGGTGAAGATCCGACCACGAATACGGTTTACGGTCCAACTGCTAAACTACACCGAAGCTTCCTGTACGCTTTAGCCTAACGCGGACCACGCGCCACCGCTAGGTCCTACGTCACTCAAAAGGGCTTTGGAGCGTGATGTCACGGGAGGGGGCGTGGCTGCCGAGGCGCCATTTTAGCAGGCCAAACAAAGGAGCGAAAGCACACGGATGGCATCAGCAATGGTTCGCACTTGCTGTGTTGTCGGTTGTAATGATCGCACGATCGTGAAGGTAATAAGCTGGAAATGGGCTGTTTTTATTCTTTCCCCACCTGGAAGCATCGTGAGGCAGCTCGTGTATCCATGTTACCAAAAGAAGCGCCTGGATAGCAGCTGTGAGACGAGCTCCACAGACATCTGTTGGTGCTCCAGACATTTTCATTCAGGTAAGATCTGAATAAGTTCATATCACTCTTTGTAGCCTATTAGTGTTATTTTCAATGCGCTCTGAGCTCATAGCAAATTAGAACAAACATCCTACTGAGTGATTTTGTAGATTTATGTTCTGTTTATAGAGTTGCTATTTGTTTTTCATTATTGCAGCAAACCAGTGGCGTGTCCAGCGGGGTGGCCTGGGGGGGCACAGGCCACCCCCCCAACCAGACTGGCCACCCCAGGTGCCACCCCAAAGGCAAAACAATAAAATTCAATCAAATATCAAATGTACGATTATGTTTTCACGGTGAAGCTCAGATATCCGAGTGTAAGTGAATGCAGCACCGGCTTCTGCGCTATGTGCATCACGTTAGCAAAGGTAGGAGAGCCAAGCATGAAAGACGGCACTGCAGGAAACAATTTTTCGGTGAAAGAAAATGAGGACAGAATAAATGTCCCGGTAAGTAATATTAAGTTTGAGTTTAGTAAACTTCGGTGAAATTAGAATACCAAGGAAAAAATAACACTTAAAAGAATTATTGGAATATTTCAGACAGTATGCTACTGAGGGGAGCTAACATAAGAGTTATGAGTTATAAGATATAATCTAAGTCGTAACATTGCTGTATGGAGCTGCAGATTTGGTTGCAGGTTAACATAGCTGGACTGGCCATCGGGCTTATTTGACTTATTTTTTATTTATTTTGTAATGGCATGAACAATGAGAGGTGGTGGATCGGCCAGATGCAGGTCGATGTGTAAAAATAACTCAGTTGTTTGGTGGTGGCTATGGCAGGGCTTCCACAGAGGCCAGCAGGTGGATGAGGGAAGGGGAGGCAGGAGGAGAGACCCGAGGCAGCCGCCAGTCCGAGTGTCAGGTGAACTGAACTTCAGGTAAGAAGTGATGACCTGCAGTCTGTCTGGGTCAGATATAAACCAAGTTTAGGTGGAGTTTATTTTCGTTGTGCTGACTTTTTACCCTCAGTTGCAATAACTCATACTGCGTTCAAGCCAGCTTGATGGAGTTTTTATACAGTACAGCTGGGTGGGTGCTATGATGTTACTGATAGTGAACTTTATTTTATTCATAAGGTTAGTTAGTAGAGTTGCCAATGACTCCTTAAAAAATGGAATGGTCCCTCATTCAGAGAAAATATTACACGTTTTGTATTGAGCTGAGAAGAGACGCAGTTTGTCCCGGACTTTAGCTAGAATGGAAAAAGACACAAAGCTGGATTTATTCTGTCTTTATGCTGCACAGCTGCCTCTTCTCCTCTCATTCTCTCCCCCTCCCTCTCCTGTTGCTACTTCAATCATGAAACTGATCAATGATCAGCTGATCGGCTCTCTTGTTTGTTTATCGCCCACTTTGCGCCAGAAAGAGGAAACCAGCAGATGTCGCGCAGCAGCACGTTTAAGCTTGATCAGCTGTTAGAATTTATTTAATATTAATTTCTAGTATCAGCTGATGTTTGCTGGAGCCACAGCTGTAAAGCTGCTGGTCATGATGTCTGTTTGAATATGTGGTGAGAGGGAAACATGAAGATGAAACCAGGAGATGTCCTTACTGAACCATCAGAGCTGTGATGGAGAAACAGGTTTACCTTTTAGGTGACAGGAATGAGTTGAAGTTATGAACTGTTTCTGAGAGACAAATAACACCAGGATCCTTTTCTAAGTAGCTGACAGCTGGTAACTGTGCAGGGGCAGATCTAGCACAGCTTTTGCCAGGGGGGCAGGTAGGGCATTAACAGGGAGAGGTGGGCACAAAGAAATACTTTTCTTTCTTATTCTCATTTAAAATATCTAGCTTTTATTAAATAATTATCTAAATCTTACAACTAAAGTTTTTATCTGACGTAAAATGTATAGAAATCATACATATACCAACAAGACTGTACATCACTGTCACAACAGCATTTGTTTTCATTCAAAGGCTTTATGGCTTTAATACCTGGTGGGCCGGTCTCTAGTCAAAATGCCCGATTTTCTGTACCGGTCCAGCCCTGCAGGTTAATACTGGCAGTGTCACCATGCCAGCTGACTGTATTTCATCATCAGCCAGTGTTGTTCTTTATCAATATTACCAAAGTTTACCATAAGGCAGCATAGAAAGTATTTACTTGCTTTCAGGTTTTATTCAAATGTTAGTCTTTTCAGTTGTTTCTCCACTTTTTTCCTGTTTCAAAATCAAACACCAGGTTGTGAGAAGATTATCTTCTTTTTTTAACAGGCAGATAAAGTTTAGCATTGGAACTGGATAATTTGTCAATTGTTTGTTACAAATGTTCGTATTTTAATATTCAAAAATGTTTTTGCCCAAAACATATGTGCACTACATGTCAATAAAAATACTATGCAAATATGGATGTCCTTGACTGCTGAATAAACACTGACTGATTGTATCTCTTGTACTTTATCAACGCAGTATCTAAAAACTTTGCACCGTAGTGGTTAAAATCTCATTCTAATAAGAGTTAAAAGTGCATTTGGTTATTAGGTTTATAGGATTATTGAATTATGGTTAACGGTTGGTAGAATTGTTTTTAACATTATCTGCCAATTACATCTGCCACCCCTCTCCAAATCTGTGCCCCTACCTGGCCCCCCCAACAGAAATTTTCTAGACACGCCACTGCAGCAAACCAGCCTATGAAATGGATGAAACACCCTGACTGGGTTCCAGCGCTACACAAGGGACCTGCTTCAAACAAACCACCATGCCAATCAGATTACTTCTTCCATGTGAGGCTGAAGAGGGGACCCTCCTGGATAAGATGGTGAAGGTTTGCTGCGTTTTGGTGAACATGTGCCCCAGTGTGGCAGTAAAACCAGGGAAAAGAAACTTGCTCTTGTTAAGAACTCTTAAAAGTCTTGTGCTGTTTATGTAGTGACAGTAAATTACAGAACGCTATAGTGGGTGATATTATTTAAATGCTGTCGTGATTTTATGTGAACATTTTGTCATTTGTAAACTACACATGACATGGATTCTACATTGTTACTGATGTGATGTTCTACAAAGTGCTTTTAATCTTTTTTTAAAAGGCAAACATGTATTTCTTTATTCAACTTTTGAACAGTGGTACTTAGTAAGTACACATTCAGCAAATCCAAATTACTTACATGGCAGTGCACTTCAGGCACAAATGTAGACCCCTAAATACAACATTATGGGTCATTCAGAACAGAACTATGCTTGGAGAAATATTTTCCCATCAGTTGATCCAACTCCTCCACAGTAGCAGGTGGAATTTTTCTTTTTTGAGGACGGCTCCTTTTACCTGTCAATATGGATGGTCTGTTTATGTTCTGATCGAGAGCCTTTTTTTGGGCAGCTGAAGAGGAGAAGTCTATCTTACAGCCAACCACTGGCTGTATCTTGGTCATATTACCCAGCAAAACCCAGTATGCAGGTTCATCTGTAACAGTCCTTGTGCCAAGGATCAACACTGTTGCTTCTACTTTAAACAGAAGAGCAGCGACATGGCTGCAGGTCTCCACGACTCCGGCCATACAGGTGCAGTGGCCGGCTCAACCTTCCCTGTGATGCTCACAGTGACCCATGGCTGCAATGCTGGTTCATTCAGTCTTTGAGAGTGCAGCACCTGAAACACACACCAAGTTCATAAATGTGTTTGATCTACTTTGTTACGGCCCTAGCAGGGCCTCCTCCTGAACGGCCTCCCTCCTATGTGCCTGTGTGGGCGTGTCCCACTACCCCTTCTGCCTGAGGTGCCACCTTTCCCTTTTGTGCAGCTGACTCTCATCAGTAATTAAAAGTATTTAAGCCCAGGGAAAGGTGAGCTCTGGGCGGGAGTGCCAGTAGTGTGTTTTCAGCTAGTGCGCTGTGTTTGGTGGTTTTCAGCTGGTGAGCTGCTTTTTCTTTTTGGCTTACGTTTTACTTTATTGATTGACCAACGCCTGAGTTTTGTTTGTTGTTTTTCAAAAATGGTGATAGCGGCTTGTCCGTCTCTTTTAGTTGAATTACTTCAATAAAACTGTTTTATTTAACTGTTTTGCCTCCTTGATTCCTTTTTCTGACCCGGTCACTTTTGTTACTTCCCCCTCATCGCCTAGACCCCCCCAGGGGAACGTAACAACTTTATCATAAATGTAACAAAGTGTTTAGAAAGTTGGCACATACATGTAATTTTTCATTTCTTTATGTGTCCATCTATAGAACGCTGCATTTTATACAGGGAGTGCAGAATTATTAGGCAAGTTGTATTTTTGAGGAATAATGTTATTATTGAACAACAACCATGTTCTCAATGAACCCAAAAAACTCATTAATATCAAAGCTGAATGTTTGTGGAAGTAGTTTTTAGTTTGTTTTTAGTTTGAGCTATTTTAGGGGGATATCTGTGTGTGCAGGTGACTATTACTGTGCATAATTATTAGGCAACTTAACAAAAAACAAATATATACCCATTTCAATGATTTATTTTTACCAGTGACACCAATATAACATCTCCACATTCACAAATATACATTTCTGACATTCAAAAACAAAACAAAAACAAATCAGCGACCAATATAGCCACCTTTCTTTGCAAGGACACTCAAAAGCCTGCCATCCATGGATTCTGTCAGTGTTTTGATCTGTTCACCATCAACATTGCGTGCAGCAGCAACCACAGCCTCCCAGACACTGTTCAGAGAGGTGTACTGTTTTCCCTCCTTGTAAATCTCACATTTGATGA